GGGTGGGGGTGGGTACAGGTTTACAGGGTACACCCCTTGGTTGGGTGAGGATGCATGGACAGGATGATAACTATGCCAACGAAATGATGGATGATGGAATGAATGTAAAGCTGATGTTCTCCCATGTAAACTATCACACAATTGACAATAAAACATTAAAAAAAAAAAAAAGGAATCCAGCCAATTATTGTATGTTGTTCTTGTACCCTGTCATTTTGCTGAATCTTTCAATAAATTCCAATAATTTTCTTGCTGAGTCTTCCTGCTTCAGGATTTTTCAATAGTATATCACCAGGCATTTTGTGAGGCACCTCTGGTGGACTCGAATTTCCAATCTTTTGTTTAACTTCTAAATGGTCTTTCATTTAGCTGCTGACTCCATTAACTGTTTATACCACCCAGGAATTCCTGGGCATTGTATTATTGTCTGGAATGGATGTTATTTCTTCTACTAAATCTTTCCATGTCAGGACTCATGTCTTAGGTTTTGTTCACCCTTAGAATCTAGTATGCTGTTTGAAACACCGAAGGCATTTAATAAACTTTAATCTACTGTTAAGTACTTGATAAGAAAATACCAGAAACTCAGAATAACAAATTGGGAAAGGATTGTAGGATGTCCAATTATCTCATTTTAGAGGTAAAGGAACAGAAATCCAGTGAGATTAGCACTGATCAGTATCAGTAGGGGGAATCACAATAAGATGCCATTCCCCACATTCCTTCCTACAGGAACTTGGTTATAAAAGAAATAAGGTTGTCCCTCCTCAAGTTATTGGTACAAAATTAAGGAGGCAGAGTATCTTTCAGTCCCAGCAACTTGAAAGAAATGGAAACTTAAATTAGTTGTCTTCACATAATATCACATTTGAATATACTATCAACTCTCCGGAGCTCTGGTAGCATAGTGGTTACGAATCGGGCTATGAACCGCAAGGTCAGCAGTTTGAAACTACCAGCTGTTCCGAGGGAGAAATATGAGGCTTTCTGCTCCCGTAAAGATTTACAGCCTCAGAAATCCTGTACAGGGTCACTATGAGTCGGCACCGACTCCACAGCACATGACAACAACAACATCAACTCTCAACAGGAGTACATGACTCATGGAAACAATTAAAAAAACAAAAATGGATATTTTTCTCACCTTGATACAAAGAGAAAAAACAGACTTATTCATTCTGTAATATTCTTTTTTGTTGTTAGCTGCCATCAAATCAACCCCCAACTCATGGTAACCCTATGCCCAACGGAACAAAGCACTGCCCAGTCTTACACCATCCCTAAGATTGTTTGTAGTGTTCATTGGTTAATTTTCGGAAACAAATCATCAGACATTCTTCCTATTTCATCTTAGTCTACAAACTCTGTTAAACCCTGTTTAGCACCATAGCAACAACACACATACATCCGATGACAGACAGGTAGGTGGTGGCTATGCATAAGGCACATTGACTGGGAATCAAACCTGGGTTTTATTTAATAAATAATTATATGGAGGCCTTTGAATAGTTCTTATAGTGGCACAGATTTTTTTAGAACATAGTTCCTGCCCATAAGGAACTTACAATTATAGATGCATTTGTTAATTTATCCATTTAGCAAACATCTAGAAAGCACCTATTCTAGACCAAATATTGTGCTAAGTGCTATAGATAGTGCTAGTTGATGATACTAATATGTAAATCCAATTTCACAGTATAATGTAATAAGTACAAAGGATAAAGGCAGAATGAAAAACATACCACACTTGCTGATTATCTAGTATTTGCTAGACACTCTGCTAGAAATTTAGCACAGTGTCCAGCAAATAGAATTTAGTAGCTTTTAAGTTTTTTAATTCTCCATTTTATAAGTGAAAAAAACTGAGTATCTGAGATTAACTGATTTTCCAAAGTCACATAGGTAGTAACTGAGAGATCTGGGATTTGAAACCATGTTCTATTACTCTAGGTGTGGACAAACTCTGGCCTGTGGACCAAATTCTGCCCACCACCTGCTGTTTTTGTATGACTCTCAATCTAAGATTGTATTTTTATATTTTTAAATGTTGTAAAATATCAAAATAAAAATATTTTTGACAAAATGAAATTATATGAAATTCAAGTTTCTGTATCTATAAATAAAGTTTTATTGAAACACAATCATCTTAATTCATTTACATATTGTCTATGGCTGCTTTTATGCTACAAGTAGTTGTGAAACAGGACGTGATCATCAATGCCTAAAGTATTTTCTGCCTGTCCTTTCATATAAAAAAAAGTAAATAGAGAGAAACACTGTAAACTGATGATATATAGCGGGGATAATAATCAATGTAATGAAACAAGCTATATGAATGGTTGAATGTAAAGCTGATGATGTGCCCTGTAAACTTTCACTCAATGCAAAATAAAAACATTTAATTAAAAAAAAGTAAACATGCAGACTGAAGTCAACTGTGTCCAGAAATAAAGATGTGCTGTCATTAAAGTGGGGTCTTGAAGTTTAGAGGTTCCTTTAAGGGCAGAGAAAGCAGGAAAGATATCCCAGGCAGAGAGAAGATAGGTAAAATAATGACATGTTTTGGGAAGGAGAAATAGTTCTGTGTGACTGAAACATACAATAAAGGGACAGAAAATGAAGCTGGTGAGAAGGGATGGATTTTATTTGTAGAATAAGTGATGGTGAGCCCCTAATGTTCATTAAGATGTAAAATCATTTAGATGTGTGTGCCAGAAAATATAATCACTGTTACCTGCTCATTGTAAATTTCCAGCATGCTGAATGTAACCTGTGTAGAGAAGAACATACAGTAAATAATGGTTCTCTTGGGGAAAAAAAATCACCTTTGAAAAAATATAGTGATACAGAAACAACATAAATGTCCAGCAAAGGGAAAAGCTAAAATTTAATATAATACAGTTCTATTTCACATGCAACATCAGGTTATCAAATAATTTAATAATTTTAGTGATATGAAAGATGTTCTCAATATAAATTAAAAACAGATACAAAGTAGTATGTGAGTGCGTATATGTGTGAGCGAATGTGTGTGTGTCTCAATTGGGAACAGAAAAAGTTTGCTATTTATTGCTCACCTATCAACACAAATGTATGTAGAAATGAGTCATTCACAAAAGACTGGTCTTGATTGTAGTTTTGGAACATTGCTACCCAATTTTACATCTTCTAGGTAGGAGCTTAGGGAGTCTTTGCTGAGGAAATTGAATGGCTCTAGTCAGAAAAGGTCTTAAGACACTGGAATTTTGCCAATATAAAAAAAGGTAGATTGTCTGTTGATAACACTGTAGTGAGTCTTGTCAGTCAAGCCTCATGTCAACAAGATTCCAGCTAATTCCAAGTGTTGTTGTAGAGGGCTTTGGAATTAACTTTTTATTCATAGCCATCCTATGTGGCAGAGTACAACTGCCCTATAATGTTTCCTAGGCTGTAATCTCTATGGAAAGGAGCTCTGATATCTTAGTGGTTATGACTCGGACTGCAAACTGCAAAGTCAGCAGTTCGAAACTACCAGCTGTTCTGTGGGAGAAAGATGAGGTTTTCTGCTCCCATAAAAATTTACACTGAGTCCCATCCAGAACCTTATGAGGTGGGACATTCCCACTAGAAAGGACAAGCAGACTGGAACAGCTACAGTGACAGAAGATACATCTTCAAAGAAAGATCATCAGGAAAAACCCTAAACAAACATGTCAGCATGACTGGTTACTACAAGAATAATCAAGCTGTTTGCCAGGAAGACATCAAGGCTAGCAATCAAGTGTCTTCAGGACAAACTCCCCTCTAAGACTGAAACTCAAGGGAACACACAAACAAGCATGTAAGCTTGCTGGCTACCACATTGGTCTACTGGTGAGTGGAAGAGGGGGAAAGGCATCAATGAAGAAATGGGCTGAGTTCAACCCCAGTCCATTGAATCCCATTGACCTGGATATGAGAGAGAGAAGAGGAAGGGCTAGTTGGTTCAAAGTGTGGTGAGATCAAAGGACACTTGAGCCCATGG